ATTATGTTTCTAAATATGTGACACCATATGGAAACATTTTGATCGTAACTAGTGGTGTAAATGCTGTTCTTGGACTTCGGGTACCTTTTTATGTTGCAGACCAAGTACAGATTGACATTTTCAAGCTGGTTTTGGTTAACTCCTTAATGTTGGAAATTAGAACTTTCCAATGTAATAACTCTGAAAAATACTGCTATGATTATTAGTATGGTATGCTGTTGACAGAAATACAAATGGAAAACACACACATACCTGTGGAAGTTTCCCTCTAGAACAAAATGGGAATGACTGGAGTGGCCTAAAACTTACCAGGTAGACCTCATACTGGAAGTTATTCTCCTATTTGAGCTAAAATACTAGACTTTGGAATGTTCTTATTAGTAAATTCAGCTTATGAGTATTTTCGTTGTTTGAAACATTTACCATATTTACACTGTTTAAAAAGCAGGCTACTGGTAGCATGTTTGGGATTTTCCATGTATCGTGTCATGTCATCTGCAAACAGTGACAGTGTTACTGCTGCTTCTCTGATTTGGATTCCTTGTCTTTTTCTTCTGTGATTGTTGTACACCTGAAACGAACATTGTAAATCAACTGACTTCAATAAAAAATAAAATTTTTAAAAAAGGCAGGCTACTAATGAGCTCATCTACTTGGCCTGGATCAATGTCAGTGTGGCCATGCAGCAGCAGAATCTGAGAAAGTCCAATTAACCATGTAAATACATTTCATAGCATCACATCTCACTTTGTCAGAGTCCCTGCTGCCTTTATATCATTAACATAAATGCAGGTGCAAATAGCATTTATGTACTTTGATAGCAAGCAGTTGGAGACATCTCACCATGGGACCCAACACTTTCAGATTATGTACATCTGTTCAAATAATGTATCCAGCCCCAGTGACACGAGCCCAAGGTTGGAAACATCTGCCCAAGAGACCGTCTGCCATGCAGCAGGTGCTTACATCTTTGTTTATGCAGATGGTTGGTGGGATGAGTGAGCAGAATAAAAGCAAAGGAGTTTGACAGGGTATTTAGGATGTTATGCAAGCCAAGAGGACTGGCTAGGCAGTTTTTGTCTGTAAAAGTCTAACACAAATAGGAATGGATATTCATAAATCTAGATGCTTTTAACAGAATAAACGTATTCTTCTTTTTTAATGTGTTGAATGACAGGCTTTGGGGGGATTTTGTGATTTTTTTAATGGAGGTACTGGGGATTGAACCCAGGACCTCTTCCAGGCTAATCACGCGCTCTACCATTGAGCTATACCCACCCCCCAAACACATTGTTCTTTAAATTAATTGGCACCAAAATCCTAAAAACATTTACAGAAGTTCCAACGTCCAACTTACATTAGAAACAGCAACTAATGATTATTTTGGTTTTGATAAAATAGCTTTAAATGATTTTGAATGCATTTTTTTTAAAGAAAACATTCTGGAATTGAATCCAGGACCTCATGCATGCTAAGCAAGCGCTCTACCACTGAGCTGTACCCACCCCTGCTCTTGAAAACTGTTGAGGACTGCAGAGAATATTTGGAGATTCCAGATATTCCAAAGAATATTTATGTCAATTCTATCTTTTGGGATTTACCATGTTTTGTGATCATAAACTGAAAAAAATATGTATTTGTGAATTTGTTTTAAAGTAACAATAATCTCACTACAGCTTAACGTAAATGACATACTTTATGTAATTGGCTGTATTTTCCGAAAAATGAGTGAGAAGGCTAGCATTGATTTACATTTTTTGCAAATCTTTCAAGTCTGGCTTCATTGAAAACGGTTGGAGTGTCACACCTGGTCCTGCATCCAGTATGCTGGTTGAAGTATTTGAAGAAAATCCAGCTTTACAGCAACTGGAAAAGGAGGGAATATTTTAATAGCCTTTTCAGATAATTGTGGCTATTTTTCTCTGCTGCTACACCAAAACGTGTCAGAGAGCTATAAAGGAGTGTAAACCAGTCAGTTAACAGCTGGAAGTTTAGTTGTAACGTGAAATTGGAAACCACGTCAATGTATGTCTTGTGTTCTGTTACATTTTGCTCTGTCTTAAGCTTGAGTCTTTCCCCCATCCACACAATGTCACTGGTCTTTTAGAAAACATTATTTCACTGAATTATGCAGATTTTCTACATATGTCATTTTATATAACACTTTTAAAACCGTACTTCTTAGAGTAACCACCAGTCTCATCTGAAAAATCAGGAACCTTCAAGCTCCTGGTGATGGATCCAAGTTTTCCAAAACTGTGATGCTGCTCGAAAGAATGGTTTTTGTCTATGGCAGTGGATACCGTCAGATGTTTTTTCTCATGATGGCAAGCCCTTCGTTCACTTTTGAGAACGTGTCTGCTGATTACCCAAGTCTAAGTGGACTGTTTCAACACGTGTCTGTCAGACATTCTTTCAAGTAAAGACAGTTATTCCCTGAAAATGCAGCCAGTTCAGCTTTGCCACTCAAACCATCGCACAAGTGCCTGTCCTCGGGGCACTATCATGCCCCAGGACATGGCGGGAGACCTCTGGGGGCGTGCACCCTGCCATCGCACAGCATTTTAAAAAGGCACCTAAGCATCGAGGTTTAATGAAACTAAGATTTTTCCTGCTTTTGTGTTGTTCTCCGGAGGGTGCGAGCTGGCAGAGAAGACAACTGCAGGGAGAGGCCTTTTGTTTTAACTAACATTGTTCATACTTTTTATTTTGTTATGTTTTTATTGAAATGTAGTTGATTTACAATGTTAGTTTCAGGTGTACAGCAAAGTGATTCAATTATATATGTTTACTTTTTTCTTTTCAGATTCTTTTTCAGTATATGTTATTGTAAGAAATTGAATATGGTTCCCTGTGCTGTACAAGAGGTCCTTGGTGTTTATTTTACATATAGTAGTGTGTGTCTATTGATCCCCAGCTGTTTCAGGCTAAGGTACCAATGCAGTTTTACCCAATTACCCCCTCTGCCCCATCCATGCAGCACGTTCACAGGTCGACGAGGTAGAAGAGGCAAGTGACATCTTATTATTAGTATGGAAAAGAGTGCCAGGACCCTCTCTGGGCTTTGTAGACCATACTTTGAGAAATGATGATCTGGTCTGATCGTCTCTTGGTAAAATGGGGAAATTAAGGCTGGTAAAAATTATCATCGTGCTCAGCCTCATCCCAGTAATAAATGAAAGGACTGAAGCCAGACCTCTACCCTGCTTCTTACATGTTATGCAGTTTATCTGGTGTCCCCAAGGAGCACCCCACCACCACCCAGAAAAGGAGAATTCAGATGTTCTGTCAAGTTTCCTAAAGGGGCAGGACCTGCCACATAAGGAATTTAGAAATTCTTTCGGCATTTTCAGACTTTTTCATTCAGTTCTAATGTTCTTCAGTGACCTCAGTTTTGGAAGCAGGTGGAATAGGATTCAAAATATCTGGGAAATATGTATTATATATCTAAAATTCTAAAAAACCTTAATTATGATTTTTTTTTCATTTTTGCTCACCATAAAAAAAAAACTACTTTAAGTCAGGACCTAAAAGTGTTATTAAATTGATGGTGTAATTGTTGCTTTCAAAAAGTCACATTTTGGCATAAGCCTGAGTGGGTCGTTCACCAGAAACTCCGTAGGAGAATCCACCACCAGAAGCAGCCTGGCTTTTAAGAAACTCCAGGGCTTTGAGAAGGGACTCACTCTGTGTCCGTATCCTTAACTGCATCTCCAGCAACCATGCTGTAGAGTCTTTTTAGAAGAAGGAGGCTCGCTGTCTCTCCTGATGGTTACACTCTGTGATTGGAAAAAATAAAAATAAATAAATAAATAATTTTTTTATTTTCTCAACATGGAGATGGATAATGTGGTCCTCGCATCCACTGGAGGAGACTGACATATAAACAGTCATCGCAAAAGCCCTTGGTGAGTTCAGTGAGTGGGACCAGACAGACCTGGGTTCAAACCCATCTCTCACTTTATCAGCTTGTGACCTCGCAAGAAAGATCCAGTTTCCGTGTCTGTGGCCTGGAGGTGTTACCCTCAAGAGCTGGTGGAAGATGAAGTGAGATCATAGGTTCAGCACTGAGTTCAACTCCTGACCGAGGGGCATTTTCGTCCTTCACACGGGAGTTTAAGGGTTTCACTCCCATGGAACCAGTCTGGTCAGCTCCATGAGAGTAACTACCGCAAATCCAGGACCTCAGCACCAGCGGCGTCTGCTGCTTCATTTTCTTTTTCTTTACTTTCTTCTGCGCATCAGTATCACAGGAGGTCCCTCTGGCTAAGGTAAGGGGGACCTTGATTGAAGAAGTGAGGCACAGTCAGGGCTGACCAGGTGGGGGTTCAGGGAGTAACTGCCTGCAGACCAGAGGCGTGCATGGGGCTGCGTGTTTGCGCTCACAAATCATGAGCTATTTGACATACAAGCTGAGATACAGAAAAACTTGCAGAAAAAAAAAATCTTGTAAATCAGTGTGAGTTGAAGATACATCACAAGTGAAGATAAAACATCTGTAAAACAAGACCACAAAGCAGGGGAGCCATTATTTCATTTTTAAAACGTAGTTTGCACCTTCCTTAAAAATGCCCGTTCTGTATATACAAAGTAAATCTATTTTTTGAAATTACGGTATAAAAATAAGAATACCTTTGTGATTGGAGTCCCTTGCTTTTAACTAGACTGTTGTGGAAACACTGTGATCTTCTTCACCACTGTAATTTCATAATCATGGTATTTTGACCAAAAGCAAGAACTTCCCAACCTTCTGCACACGACCTAGTTTAATTGTTCCAACCGACTGCCCGTTCCGGTGTTGAAACCTCGTATTTCTGTTTATCCCACTAAGGAAAAGTTTTTCCGCACCAACTGTCATCTCCTCAGTCATCCCAGGTACTTAACTGTTCCAACTGATACTGAAATAGAAGCTGTGACTAGAAGGGGCCCGTTTTTAATTTGTTGGTGGAAGATTTCTTGCCATGAGACATTCATGCCGCTCACAAGAAGCTCTTTTGTAGGAGGTGTTTCCACGCTCACCAGTCCTGTTGAGAAACAGCTGACTCAGAAGATGTCGGAATCCCCTGGAAAGACAGTGTGTACAGGTATTTGTTACTGGTAACAGGACATCAGATGAAAGCGGGGAGGGTTTAGCTCAGGGGTTGAAGGTTTAGCTCAGCTTAGCGTGCACGAGGTTCTGGGTTCAACCCCCAGCACCTCCGTTAAAAAGAAAGAAAGAAAGAAACCTAATTACCTCCCCTCTCCCCCCCACAAAACTGCAAACCAGATGAAGTGACTGGCTGCTTTTCCCTTGATGGAGTTCAGTTAGCAAGGCCTTAATCTCAGCTACAAGATTTAACTGAATGTTAACAATTGTAGCAATAGTCACAGCAGAAATAGTAACAGGAGGATGGGCTTGGTAAAGCATTTCAGAAGTTCCCCATTGTCTTGCTTTGGATCCCCCACAGACCACTAGCTTTTAGCTAAATTTTGGCACCACTCAGTCATTCTTAGATTTGTGTAAAGATACAAAATTCACTGCCTTGTCGTCATGAATAAAATCTGGTACCCGTTCCAATTTTTTTTTTTTGCCAAAAAGATAAATAAGTTCTTCTTTCTAAATATATTCAAAATAAGAATATTTCATACAGTTTTCAAGTGTATTTCATCAGAAGCACTTGAAATTAGAAGCAGTTCCTCCCAGAAATCAGGACTGATAAAAGGGGCTTCATTAAAATGAAGGGGAAATGCGCTGACATTGAGCATTATTCCAATGTATTTCAAATGATGGAGCTTTTTACGTTTCCTTTTCATTTGGGACATTAATTACACGACCTGAAAAGAACAATTAGCTACTTGAATTTAACAAAAAAAAACACATTGTGGTATTTTTTTTTCTTTTATTGCCGTTAATAGTTTAGGTCATTGACTTTTAAATTTGTCCGTAAAGAATGGCTGTTTCCTCCTGCTTCATGCTGTATTTACTTACCTAATCTGTTCAGTTTTGTGGGCTGTGGTTCCTCTTTGAGTGCCAGACTTTTCTTTCTAGACACAAACTATCTTAAACTTATTTCCTCGGCAGAACACTGAAGTCTACAAGAAAGTGGTCTCGAAATTCTGGCCACCCGGCCCCTACCCTCTGTGAGGGTCCACGTGTTTTCTCTCCTGAATTGAGAAAACACGTGGCCATTGCTCTCCCGCCTTCCAGGGATGTGGCCAGAGGCCCTAAAGCCCCATCCCTGACAGGACCCCTGAGACCTGGACTTACCCTCATCCCCTACCAGGGGGTGTTTCTCCTCTGCTAAGCTTGGGAGCAACCGCCTTTAGCAGCAATACTCAAAATAAACAAAAGCAGAGGAGAGCGTCCCCTTAAAACAGCTCTTTAAAATGCACATATGTTAATTCCAGTTCACTGACTTGTTAATCTGATTAGCACTTTGTCAGACTGGGATGTAGACACTGGGGGCCTGGGGAAAAAGGGAGCCTGGTAGGTTGGGTCAGACGGACGGAAGGCTGAGCTGCAGGAGCGGAGGGGCAGGAGAGGCAGGAAAAAGAAGCGTCCCAGTCTGACTGGGAGCATCATTCACAGGTGACCGTCCTTTCTCCCCGCTCTCCTCCACTTACCTCAGGAAAGAAGCGCCCGTCGAAGGATTCAGTACTATTTCCGTCTGCTTACCATTCAGGGTTTGTGCCTTTTTCCCCCACCAAAAATAAATGTCAGAAGCCTCGTGCTGCTAGGCGAGAGAAGGTAGGAACGAACATCTGATGTGGGGTAGGCGCTCCCCTGGCACCTTTGTGGGTACTTTTTTCATTTAATCCTGACAGTGACCAGATTCTATTATGCCCATTTCATAAACAGGAACATTTAGGCTGAGACAGTGACTTTCTCAAACCATGAGACAGAACCAGGAGTTGAAACCACATCTGTCTGAAAACCCCAAACCCGTGCTCCTTCCACTAGAGCCCAAGGTGGGGGCCCGCACCTGCGAGTACAGCCTCCAGGCAGCGGGCGGAGCGGGGAGGGGCCTCTGCAGGCACGTGGGCCAGGGTCTGCGTTCCAGCCCGTTGAGGACTGGCTTCAAAATCTCTATCTGTAAAATGCACACAACAGTCATTCCTAATGCAGGGGGATGAAAGGAGATAATGCGCGCAAGGTACTTTGCACAGTACCTGACACATAAAAGATTCCTTATCATTAGAATGAGGTTGAAGAAACAGTGGTGATTAAGTGCTGGGAAATGGAGGCTCTGGTGCTGAGAAAATAAGAATTCCCTTTCTTGCTAAGCTAGGCAATGGATTCACTGGGCAGACAGCAAGCACTCAAGGGCTGCGCTGAATGGAAGATCCCGGTACATCATTGGTGTGGCTGCAGGAGCAAGGGGGAGGGAGGGACTGAGAGCGTGGTCCAGCAGAGCGGGGCCTGTGTGCCCAGGAGCGTGGGCATGACCAGACGCAGGAGACATGAGCGCCCGTTGGGACGTGCTGGCTCCCTTTGTAGGGTGTCAGGTTCCCTGACATTTGGGTCCTAGCTGAGTGGCGCCAGGAGGTCTTAGCGCTGCAGATCCGTGGGCTGGAGCGACATGTGGCATCTTGAGTCCTTAGAAACAACACGTGTCCTGTGCGTCCAGCGTGGTCTCCAGTGCCCACTCTACCCCCAGCACCCAGCACCCAGCACACCCCTGCAGACTGAGCCTGTGTCCCCTCAGGGAGGGGTAGGCAGTAGCTCCACGTGTTTGTAAGTCTTTCCACAAAATGAGGTTGAGCTCCCTTGTGTTCTGAGGCATTTCTTTCATCTCAGACTTCTCCAGGGTTTTACCAGATTTGTTTTGACCCAGGACCATCCTGGAAAACAGTCTCAACCCCACCAGAACTTACTATTTGAAAACCAAGTGGGAGGGAGAATGGGGATGCCAACCAAGACAACTGAAGATAGGGTGTTTCTGTTTGATAAAAATTAAAACCTAAAGCACCCCTAAAAGCTGCGGCTCTTTTGTGGCCAAAACTTGGCAACCCTTTTGTTCTGAGCCTGGAGCCAGTGAGGCTGTGGCAAGAGAAGGGACCCTCTTTCTCTCCCTGCTCTCTACTCCGGACTTGGCAGAGGGCCCCTGGGTCCCCGCAGATGGACAGTGGAACTGTGCCCAAACCAGCCAAGGGACGGGCAGGAACAGCTTTGTTCAGAAGCAGCACCGCAGACCTCGATTCTGCCAGGGGAAGTCCAGATGTGAGGGGTGTGCAGCAGCCGGGAGAATGGCCTGCCCCGAGTGCTTGTCTCTCCACGTGGTCTGCACAGGGTGTGTTATGATCAGTTCAATAAGGCCGGCTTAGATGTTGGCACATGATCCCCCTGCGCCCTCCTCTTTGCCCTGCTGCCCCGTCTCCACCAGACCCAGCCGCTGGTGGCGATGGAGGAGGGAGAGGTGCACACACGTACTTTCTCCAAACAAACGTCTGGCCACCGTGTTGGATTTGTCAGAATCATCTGGGTGGTAAGCGGTAAATTCAACTTCAAATATCAGATGACTTTTACCTTCAGGTGACAATTTTCACAAGTCCTGTAGTGAGTGGGCTTTCAGAAAGAAAGTATCGTTCACTGGTCATCGAAGTTTGGGGCTATGACAGGCCATTTCTATTTGCAGTTTTCTTTTTTTTTCTCCTTAAATTTCAGAGATAATATTATATTTTGGAATCACTTAGGGCAATTCTGCATAGGATGCTTCCCCCTGCTGAAGGGAGGATGGAGGAGAAAGGTCATTGCTTCGAATTGGAATGGCACAGGTCTGGTTGTGTCGACTTGGGCGTGTTACTTACCTTCCTCAAGCCTCCTTCTGCTTATCTGTGAACGGGGAATGATAATATTTATTTGCAGAGTGTGCTCGAGGGTTCAGTTAAAAGACCTCGCATGGATTCTAGCCGTAGATAAGGACTCAGTACCTCCAGGCTTCCCTGTAACCCACAGTGGGGTCAATTTCTCAGCAACTGTAAATGTCACTCTTCAAAATAATTGTTTTTAATAGCCCATGTTTAAAATCCTAAGCATTCACACTGTATAATTGTGCAAAATTAATTTTACTGAGTGAGCCTTTTATGTTTGCAGTTAATAAAAAGTCCACGTTTAGTGCCTGAGAGTCCTGGGAGTCTCTTTAACCACGTTATGGGTAATTTCGCAGGATTTCCAGAAATTATGAATGTCAGTGGAAATTCCGACTGACTGTTGAGTGCACGGCTCCCTGAAATCTGTCATTTAGTAGGTGACGGGGGAGGGGTTTTAGATCCACACCATCTGGGAGAGGCCTTGTAAATGTGTCGTGGCATAAACCACTGTGGCAGCTACATGGCCAAGAAAGACGTCCCACAACCACGCCTCCTCAGTGTTTTAGAAAACTTAATGTCATTTTCAGCTTCTCTAAATACTCCTATCGTTCAAACTACTTGAAGAAGAAGAAGAAGAAAAAAACCTGTCATCATTACAGCATAACTGCCCTTCATTGCAGTTTGCCCTGTTTTATTTTAAAGAGCCGAACGTTGGGAGAAGGGTTCTCAGGACGCCAGTTGTCCTTGGGAGGTAACGAGCTCTGATGCTTCCCAGGGTGACCTTTGCGGGGAGGAGGGCTGGGGAGACACTGCCTGTCCGATTATTTGATTACCTCCCCTATCCTTCGCATTTCTGGTCCTGAAGTAGACAAGGGAAGGAAAAACCTGAAATGCTCTGTGTGTAATCTGGACACAGTCACTTACCCATCAGAGTATCGTCAGAGATGGTCCCCTTTCAAAACGGATTCAGAAGGAGAACTTTCCTTTTCCCAACAAATACTGATCAGTGAGTGCCTCCCGTGTGCGGGGCAGAGTGTTCAGCGGCCCACGAGCATCCAGCCCTTGCACGTGTGCTCATTTCATTAGTTTCCCTTGGGAGATGTTCCGTGCGTGTGTTGGAACATAGTTGTGTGTGTGTCTTGCTACTTTTTAAAAATCCAGCTGGTAGCAGAAGAGAAATCTCCCATCCTGGAGAGGATCCCGAGTCAGTGTAAGCCTTCTCCTCTTCCACCCCTGACAGGATCGCGTGTGTGGTCGGAAGATTGTTGCCTTAGTACCTGCTTCTGGGCCTTTGAGTCAGTCCTGGGGGGCGGTGGGGCTCTCCTATTTCTGGCCTCGCCCTCTTTCTCTGGCCTTGCTTTTCTTCTAATGCATCATTTCATTCCCTGTCGCTTCGTCCTGAATAATCGATTCTGGGGGAGGGGACTCAACACCACCTTCGTGAAGACCCCTGCCCTTGTATGTAACTCCCAGTAGATCCAGGCAAGCAGGAGTCAGTTCAGTTTACCCTGGAAGACCTTATCTTCTCACCCTGCAGATTTCTTGCGATCAGCTTGTGATTTTTAATAATGAAGTCAACTGATAAACTTTTCTGCCCCAGGATCCACTTTTCTGAATTGCAGGGAACTGGAGGAGACGGACCCTGTGTGTGTGGCGGGCCCCTTACCTGTCCCCAGGACTCTCTTTGTCTCCCATGGCCCAGGCAGCTCACTGATCCGTGTTCTCCTTTGCTGGGACAGTTACCTGAAGGAGTTTCCTTTGCTCCTGGGCCGCAATCGGCCGCCTTTTCCTCTGAACGTCGTTGCCTTCCCATGTCATTTGATTTCCACGCTAATGGAGACACTTGTGATGGTCAGTCGAAGCCCATCGACTTGAACTGTTTCGTAGTTAGCTCTCTGCCTCCCTTTTGGAATGGCTCAGTACATACATCTAGTTCCATTTCTGGAATCTTAACTGTCGGAAGGTTGCTTTCTCACACTTGGTCATAAAACCCAGGAAGCCCCTTCCCACCTGGGGTCCTTAGGGCCCTCGTGGCGACCTTGGCCACCAATTGTCGCTGCAGCTGCCTGCTCTGTTCTTTGTTATTTCTGCTCGTCTCTGTGCTGACATCGCCTTTCTGTGTGTCTGAGCTTCAGATTTCCCACTTCTGGCCGCACTTCCTCTCTTAGCCCGCATCCCCCGTCCTTCATCTGGGTAGGCCTGTTTTCTGTAAAGCAGTTTCTTCTTTAGAGCTGGCTTGTTTCTTTGACTGTTTTAGCTTGTGCCCCCACAGCGTAATTTACTGTCCTCGCTTACTAGTTCCTCGAATGGTTCCTCACTTGGCCTCACCGATCCCCTTTATCCTAAAAAGTTTTTTGTGTTTTTTTTTCCCCTAATCACCATGGTAACCCATTTCCTTGTTTTGGCAGTGGGCAAATAAAATTGGAAAAAAAAATTCCAAAGATGTATACTCTATTTCTTTTTTAATTTTCAGAGTAACTTGGTAGTGTTCAAGTGTGTATTTAAGTTGTGGATTTTTTTTATTTTTCAGCCATTGATCACTTTGTTACTAATACCACCTACAAAGTCTACCAATAATGATCAGATTCCTGACCCTGTTCTGGGACCGAGATGCAGATCACCTCCCCGCCCTCGAGGAATTCACTCTAGGGAGGGCAGGCTGCGGGCCCCCATGTAAGCCGTGAGGTGGAGCGAGAGTGCTGGAGAAAATTAAAACAGGAAGTGGGGTGGGGAGTTCAGAAGGGAGGTACAGGTCTAAGTAAGGTGGTCAGAAGATTCACCACAAGAAGCCCGTTTGAGCAGAACTGGAAGGAAAGGCAGTGTCAAACGTCCTGGGCTCACCTAGGGATGCGTGTCAGGGCAGTGAGAGCAGCGGGCACTGAGAGCCCGGGGACTTAGGTGTGTGGCGCGCGTCGGGGCGGGCCTGGAGGGATGGAGTCAGAGCGGTCCTGGAGCCCTGGGGCCCCTGCAGGGACTTTGTCTCTGACTCCAGGATGAAGAGCCGATAGGAAAGACAAGTGAGGTGACTTGTCGTGCTGTGATGCGCATTGTCATGTACTATTTCAAGAGGACTTAGGACTAATTAGGGACAGCCTAGCCTTTCTTCCAGCTCTTCGTGCTGTAAATTTTGGTGCTCAATCAGTTAGGAGTTTGAACTTGATATAAATGACCCAATTTCCTCCTCCCTTTCCTCAGCCCTGATGTGCTGTGCGGATGCAAAGACCATCATTACTGTTAGTGTGATTCTTTAAAAAGCTTTGTCGCTAGGCAACCAGAAGCTATCAGTAGTTTTAAGCTCTCTGCAAACTCTCAGTCTTGATTTTATATTTATTTATTTGTTTGTTTGTTTATGGAAGGACAGTCAATTTACAGTGTTGTGTTAATTTGTGTGAACAAAGAGTGATTCATTTATACATATGTGTATTCCCTGATTTAATATATTTATTTACAACTTACTTCAGTACGTCTTCCAAACAGATGAGAAGATGAGGCTTAATGTGAAAGATGTTTAAATTGAAAGGCCATGAAATTAGAACTAAAAAATGAATTAAATTATGTAGGAAGACAAAGCAGATGTCACAGATCAATTCAGGTGACTACTGTGAAGTGAGGAGGTGACTGGCTAATCCGTTTACCTGTGAACTTCACGGCAACAAAGCTAAAAAGGAAAACACCACATTTTGTAACTACCCTCGTCTGGCTTCCCCAGACCACAGCACTGCTGCCTTTCCTCCTTACTCTAACGCAAGCAACCATGTGAGCAGGTTTTTAACATCCCTGTTCTTACCCAACAGCGATTACTTTCTAAGGTACGTTGGTCGGTCAGTACACATTTCAGCCTGATTCCTACTATGTGACGTATTTGTTTCTTTGCAGAGTGTCATTTTTGCTGGGGGAAAAAAATCAATTTTCTGCTAACATTGTTAGTTCACTCACTGTGGACGTGAAAATCAAGGTTGACTTTTTTAACGTTTAATTGTCTGTTTCGCTCGGTGGCCAGCCACTTAAGGCAGAAACCGTGTCCGTTCATCTTTATGTCTCTGGTAGCTCCTAAGCAAACCTTTCCTCGATCCCTGACCTGCAACCGCAAAATCTAACAGGCTCTGAAAACAGAAAGTTGTATCAAAAGTCGGGCGCCAAAACTCATTCAGAGGCCAAGCCTGAACTGAAGTAGGACTATTTAAAAATCGCCATTCGCCCCACTTGTGAATACTCGGGTATTTCACTCACGTGTAGTAACAGGTTGGATTACTGATGCTCTGCGAACTTTGCTGGGCGTTACATACCATCTGGTGTCTACAGCTTATTACTCTTCAAAATATGAACAGATAAATTCCAAAATGCTTCTGTCCCCAGTGGGATCAGAAAAGGAATCATGGGCCTGCAGTGGCCAAGCTCTAGAATGGCAGGCGTACCTAGTCAACATGAGGGGGAGGAAAGCTTGACTCATACGAGGCACTTAGAGATGGGAGACTGTTCTGCAACCAGGCCTTGTGCACCTGAGGCCTCAGGGAGTAAAACATGATTCAGTCCTTAGAAAGCAGTGCATCGAAACATTCCCTGAATTGTCCCTTTGGAGAAGTCACAATTGCTCTTCTGCCAGACTAGGAAATTCTAGAAACATGAACTGTTATTCCATCAGTTGAAATTGTTGCTGTCAGTGTCCTTGGAGGTGCCATGTGTGTTGTCTCTGTATCTTTTCTTACCACTTTGGATCTTTTTGTTTTCCTGCCAGCATTTTTTTTTAAGGTGTCTCACATCAGCTTTTTTTAAATGCTAGTGATTTAATTGCAAAAGCACACACATAAACAGTGTGAAAGGTGTGAGAGGAAAATTCACAAGTCACCTGGGAAACGGCCACAAAGCCAGCGTTCAGTCTGGAATCCATCCACCGCTCAAAGCAAATCTCACTGCCGGTGGGTCAGACGGGCATCCTGAAACTGAGCAAAAAATGAGTTTGATACAAGAAACATTTGTTTCATACGGAAGATACAGTGGGAACTATATCAAGAACTATAGCAAGACAGTTTCAATACTGGCCTCACCCACACAGAGCTGAAGTTTAACGGGGAAAACATTTATGTAAAAGGAATCCAGTCCACAGCAGAGCCTACTGGTGGGGGTGCAGCCAAGAGATCAGGAGAGGAGGTGGGGTTGCACTGGTCTGTAAAAATGAATTCAGTTAGGTCAATGGAGAGGATGGACTTGTGGAATACAAGGAGGAAAAAGACACAGCCCCAGCTCTCAAGAAGCCCTGAGTTTAGTAGTAGAGATGCACAAACAGATTATTGTGGAAAGTGCCCCTGGCCCCGCGGAGGAGCACAGTCATCAGTGCGTAGGAAGGCGGGCAGGAGCTGACCTTCACGCTGGGACGCAGTAGGCAGGGTGGTCTAGGAATGCACTCCAGGCAGAGGAAATGCTGAGATGCTTATTTGTGCCCTCACAATGGGACAGCGACACCAGAGTGACTTTATATTGTATTATCCTTGCAGGTGAACCAAGCATCCCTTCCGGGACCGTTCAGATTGGGAAAGGTCTGCAGAGTAAGAGTCAGTTTAGAACCATCGCTCCAAAAATCGTGCCCAAAGTCCTGCCACCCCGAGTGCTCACGTGCCCTTCGCCGTCCCTCCCTGATCAGGCGAGTCCAGGCCCCCCCTTCAGCTCGAAGCCCCTGGGGATGCCCACCCAGAATTATGCGCTGATGCAGGTCGCTGGCCAGGAGGGGACATTTTCTCTGGTCGCTCTGCCCCACGTTGCCTCTGCTCAGCCCATTCCGAAGTCCAGACTGCCTCTTCCTGAGAACCTAAAGCTGCCTATTCCCCGGTACCAACCCCCAAGAAAGAGCCAAGGAGCGAGAAGGAAGCCTATGCCCAGCTCCTCTGAGAGCAGCAAACCCCCTGTCCAAACCCACGCACCCCCCGCCCTGCCTGCCCGTCCTGAGCCCCCGCCCAGGCCCCGTCCACCCGAGGCCTGGGTGCCACCAGACCAGGCCCTGGCAGGTGTGGGCACCACCGTGCTGACCAACGGGGATGACCACAGAGACTCCCGGCCTCCAGGGACCAGTGCCCATGCAGATCCAAACCCTCCTGCCACCCCAGCATCGTCTATACCGCAGGGGCCCACTGCCAAGCTGGACCTCCCAAAGACGTCAGGGAAAGCAAACCATGCTGGCCAGAAAGCATCCAGGAAACCCGCCACTGTTCCCAGTGAGAAACTTAAAGGACAGGCCAGTGTTGCCAAAGCCATGACCCATTTGTCATCAGCTGTATTTGGCAACACGATTCAAGTGGTCTCTTCTGTCTCTAGAGGTAAACTGCCCATCCTCCCCTACTCAAGAATGAAAGCACCAGAGGTTTACAAGAGTGAATCGGCCATTCACACTGTGGATATTTCTTTACCTGGGCTCCGGGCAGCCAGTGACAAGACCTTGGGGGTCACAGAAGGCTTCTGTGTGGCGCCACAGGTGGCCAACAAGGTCCCTGTCCCACCGGTGTTGAAGCAGAACCCTGGTGAAAATGCCTTCAGTCTGGCCACCAAACCCGATCTTAGCCACAAAACAAAACTGAATGGTGGGGCAGCAAAGAGAAAAGGCAGGAAGCGAAAGGTACCAGATGAGCTTTTGACATTTCAGGGCAAAAGAAGGAAATTTGTCTTGAACAAGTGTAGAGATGGCAAAGAAAGGGTCCAGGCCGATCCGCAGGAAGCCAGCGGCCCGACACCTGGGACTGTGAGAAAGTACCGGAGCATCATGCCCAAACCTGCCACCGTCCCGCCGGCTCCGGGCCCCCCGGCCTCTCCCGTGGCCCCAGTCCAGCCCCCGCTGCCCGGCAGCCCAGCACAGGATGTGCTGCTGAGTAATCCCTTCTCCCCGGAACACCTGGGCTCTAAGCAGGCCGACGGCCCTTCCCCTAAGCCCAGCACTGCGTTCAGACGCGGGCTCTCCGGCCTTAAGAAGCCTTGGCACCGATGCCACGTGTGTGATCACCACTTCCAGTTCAAACGGCACCTCCAGGAGCACATGAACACACACACCAACAGGCGGCCCTACAGCTGCCGGCTCTGCCGCAAGACGTACATGCGGCCGGGCAGCCTGAGCGCCCACGTGCGGCTCCGGCACGCGGACAGCCGGCCCCGGAAGCTCATGTGCTGTGAGCTGTGTGCCAAAGTGTTCGGCCACTTGCGAGTCTACTTTGGCCACCTGAGAGAGGTTCACAGAGTCGTCATCAGCACCGAGCCCGCCCCCTGCGAACTGCAGCCCGGAGACCAGAGTGCCAGGGAGCCGGAGGGGCCAGTGGACAGGTGAGTGCTGCTGGGATGCGGGCCAGCGGGAAGGAACGTCCGGGTTGGAGAACAGGGTGGGATTTCACACCCAGAAAGATGCCTTTGGGAAAGCGTCCCTCAGATGAGATTTCATAAGGTCGCCACCTTGTCCCCCTGTTCCGGAAAGGGTGGCCTCCTTTCCCTTCATTTCCGATCATTCATGATCATTAATTACCCCACCATCTGGCAGCCAGGACACAGATGCCAGCTTGGGGTCCACTGGGGACCATCAAGCAAGAGGTTATTCTTGCATCTGAAATAGGAAAGAGTCACTTAGTGTATATGGTTCCTGGGCACCTCTACAAGTAACTTCCCCCAAACTCATACCCACAGAATTTCTGTCTAAAGAGGATCGTTTGCCCCAGAGATGGAGTGACCAGTGGTGGGGACTGGGCGGCGTCTGCTGCGTCGGCCATCCCCTCGGGTGCCAGACCAGACCCTCTCCGTTGGCCCTGTTTTCCTGACGGGCCGGAGCAGTGTTTCCTGTGTCATTGCCCCCGTGCCCCTTCCCAGTTTCATAAACACACCAGCTGAGTCATTGGAGAGCCTGCCGTGCAGGGCTGAGAGAAGTAAGCAAGCCATGGACACACCCTCTGTCTGTCCACCTGGCTCTAAGTGACAGAGGGGTCTCACTGAAACGAGTTCTCATCAGCACCATGAAAATGAAACATTCTTCAGCACTTTTGATTCTCTGTCCCTCGTCCTCCTCAACTGTCCCGATGGTTCTCAGACCTTTCTGTCCAACTCTGGCTTGGTGGATCATACACATTAAGAGTAAAGTGCACCTGTCCTGTTCCTGGCTGGCTTCTCTAGAGTTTCTCTGTGTCTCTTTAAGCATTTCTGCCCCCTTTCAGACACCTGTGCCTTTTACTAATGTACATAGCAGCCTCCCCTAAAGAAACCTCACTTCTTAATGGTTTAATGGAATATGTTTCAATTTTTAGGTAAAATGTCCAAACTGCATTTGGTGCTCTGGTTGGGGAGGACGCCATGGGAGGGGAAGTGGGGACAGTCACCTCCGCTGGACCCAGTGGGTCCCCACAGTGCTTCACTTGGTACTTCCTACTCTCATGGTGATTCCACCTGTTCCCATGGTAACCAAAGAAGACTTAGCTCCCGAGGAGATACGTAAAGGAAAACCCTCTTTCTGAAGGGGCCCCCGCCAACCTGAGAGGTGTGAGGCCCCAGGCAGGAGTGACACTGCTGCTCCCCGCGGCCTCTGCTCACCCTCTGTACTTCTCCGCAGCGCGTCCATCTTAGACCCCGAAAGGCCAAGAGCTGGAAAGACGAGTCCCGTTTTTTTTTTTCCGGGAGACCTGATCCAGGCTATTTCCCCACTTTTCAGGGAGAACAGGCCCAGCCTTGAAGAAGACCTCCTTCTGAACCAGGCCGACGAAGTCAAATTACAGATCAAATGTGGCCGCTGTCAGATCACTGCCCAGTCTTTTGCTGAAATCAAATTTCACTTACTCCACGTTCACGGAGAGGAAATTCAGGGCAGGTTACAAGAGGGGATCTTCCCTGGAGGCAGAGGCACTCAGGATGAACTGCGGAAACACGCTGCTCCTTCCTGGAAACCACAGTCCAAGAGAAGAAAGATGTTTAAGCATCGTCCCTCTGATGAGGAACTCCACGCATTCCCCACGTTGAAAAAGCAGCTCTGCCTCCATCAGCAGAACGACGTGGAAATCCTCACAGGGCACGAAGGAGCCCAGCCAGGACCCTTTGAGCCCAGAGGAGACCCCCAGAGCCCCGAGTGTCCCGGGCCCCCTACTGCCCCCCTCCCAGCCCAGCCAGGCTTTAACTGCATCCTTTGTGCACAGACGCTGGGAAGGAAGGAAGACCTGCTCCTGCACTGGGAACAGCAGCACAACTGTGAGAACCCTCCCCAGCTCTGGACCATTTTCCATGCGCTCTCCAACCGGGGAGTCATCACGCTCTCCAGCGAAACCGAAAAATGAAACACAGGGGCGAGGAGGAGTTAGGAGAGGCTTGCTCTCAGCTTCCTCTCGGGGCTTTGTGGTGCTTAATTACAGAAATCAAACAAGTTAGGATCAGCATTAATGAGCAGGAGTGGTTTTTGAACATAGTTCTGTTTTGTTATGAAATATATATATATATATATATCATTGATGCATTTTTCTAACATATGCAGGTTTTTTTAATTTGATGTACTGTTATGTTTATTTCAGATTCAATAAAAAGCTAAATTTGGAGGTTGAAATATAGAAGATGGTAGGCTGTTCCTCAGATACAGTTTTTAGTAGAAACACATGTGAGTGTGCGTGCGTGCGTGCGTGCGTGTGGGCTTATATTCACATGGCTCCTGTTTAAGTAGATCAACAAATGTGATACATTTCCAGGGGACAGAACCACTCCATTTTCAATCCTACTATATTGTTGGTCTTTATCAAATTATCTGGTTGATTTGACCATGCCATACAGCAGTGTGTTGGATAAGGTTCTCATCTCTCATAGTTTAAAATCCATGTTTTCAGGCCATAGATTTTTTAAGTTCTGTTTTCTAAAATACACATTCCCTTGAAGATGAGATATCGGTAAATCATCCAGCCGTTGTGTTCCATATCAGAGTAATCAAAAATTTTTTTAGTACTTCACCTTTTTTGGTAAGAAATTCTTTTTCAAATAGTCTTTTGAGCTAGAAAATTTACAACCTGGGAAGCGAACTAGATAGTTCAATCCAGATGTCCAGGTGTCGCAACCTTCCCTCCCTCCCCAATAACTTCAGAGGGCTGTGGCTGGCGGATCGGTTTTAGATGCGATGGCCCAAGGTTTCAAGCCCAGGTTCTCTTTGAAAGTCAAGAGTAAATGATTGCCTCTTAAATTTCTGGGAAGTTATCTGGAATCGAAAAAGTTGCCATTTGAAGTTTCTGGCCATCCTGGCTGCAAAATGTTCTTGGAAGAGGGGAATTTCAGCCCTCATCCCGCTAGAATTCCAGCCTTTGGTTGATAGTACTGTGCACGCGGCCAGCCCCGTGTGCCTGAAGCTTGGCGCAGGCACCTTCATAACAGCTTTCTGTGTTAAAGGAAGTTACCTGAACGGAGGAAGAACTAAATTCTACTTGATAAGCTGGCAGGTCTTCAGTCATCTCTTTTAGTGTCTTGTTTTATTTTTATTTTCTTTTGTTTTGTTTATTGTAATACAATCAGTTTACAGTGTGTCAGTTTCTGGTGTAAAGCATAATGTTTCATATACATACGTATATTCATTTTCATATTCTTTCTCATTAAAGGTTGCTAATATCTCATTTTAAAAGCAGGTGTTCATCGGCCTGACTTGGCTCAGATAGCACAGAAAGAGGACACTCAATCTTTGGCTTTTTGCAAATAGTTTTATAAATTTGAGAATAAGAGGGTAGGGATAAAAAAATCTCTGAAAAATGTTGCTGTGGTTTATCGATGGATCACCCTCTGCCCAGTTTCAGAGAGACATCAGTATCAGACTTCTACAGGGAAGGGGATAGCTCAGTGGTGGAGCACTTACTTAGCATGCATGAGGTCCTGGGTTCAATCCCCAGTACCTCCATTAAAAAAAAATTTTTTTTAAGAAATAAATACCAGACTTCTGCTGTTTGGTATTTTTAGAACTGGGTGCACAATGGAACGACTTTGCCATTGAGCACAGTCCCTAGTTTGTGTTTGGAAGATCAGTCTTGAAGACACTAAAAAAAAAAAAAGAGAGAGAGAGAGAGATCTACCAAGAATACTGCTTGAATTCAAACCATGAAATTTTATTCCAAGTATAAAGTAGTTGATAGACCACCCCGCCTCAGTCTTCAGATGCTAAGCAAGGATTTCCGAAATGCTGATCAGGATGCCCAGGGGCCGAGGAGCGGGTCCAGAGTACCGATGGAGGCATAGGTTTGAGGACAGTGTGTCCACCCAGCACGTAAAGGGGCATCTGCAGTTCCCAGGGTTGTGGAGACACCTGTGGCCGGTGTTTAATCCTGTATTCTTGCAGCGAGGGTGAGGCGGTGAGGGCGAGACAGCGAGGGCAGAGATGGCCTCTGGAAAGAAACGGAGGGTTAGGAATGGGACCAAGAGCAAAGGGAGGGAGACGTGATTGGCTTGGCATTGAGCGCCCTGGCTGGGGCCCCTTTCTCATCAGCGCCACCTGTGATGAGCCATTTCTGGCCCTGAATGGTGGCACTTGTACAGTGAGATGGTGGCAGGGGGGACCCCAAATGGGGAGGGAGGAAAATGAGGGAAAATTCAGCTAAAGGACTGGGAACAGCTCACAGGGATGAGCCAAGGGGTCTTGACTGATAAGCCTTCTTTGGGTGTAGACGTGTTGTTGGTTCCCAACCTGCATACGTAACCAAAAGGCAGTGATGTGCAGAAGACAGTACCATGATGCTTACTGACCAGGAGAGAGCGACTGTCCTAAGCTCCATTCCCCCGTCGGTAAGACGAGAGTGATGAGCCCACCTCAAGGCATTTTTTCTGAAGAGTCAATGACACACACATAAAACGCGTGGCACCCTCGGGCCATGGAGGAACTAGTGGTGGTGTTTATTATGCTTTTGACCCAACTTGGAAGAAAAGGTACATTATGTCATAAAAATATCATTTAAAACAGCTCAGGTCGGCCTCAAGTCCAGAATTCAAGGATGAAAAATTCTGCAGCAAACCGCAGAAAGTGGCATCTCTGTATAAAAAGTACATTTTAATTTTGAAATAATCAAACTGGGATCGGTATTGCATGGCGGTTTAGTAAGTTGCTATGTAATCAATACAGGAAGCGAAATTGATGAAATTGTTTCCCTTTCAGGCTCCACTTTGGGCCACAGATTCTCCCCTGCAGCTGTCCTGCTTTGCCTCCCCTGGGCCTGACCCAGCTGCTGTCACCCAGGGTCCCGACCTTGACAGTGGACTTGTCTGCTTCCCACTCTAGACCATCAGCCTCTGGAGGGCAGGGGCCGTGTCTTTGCTTAGCAGGTAGCCCTAGTGGGTCTAGGACCTGCCGAGGAAGCGTGCACAATATCTGTTGATAAAATGGACACATTCGCTGAAGACAGACAAAAGTGCCACTTCCCTTTCTGTGAATAAACCCAGCTGCAGCTGCAACCACACTTACAGCCGGGAAGGCACGGAGGGAACTGTGGTCTTCAGTGCAGCACATTCATTTTGCTTAATGTCTTTTGCTTCTTAGAAAGTTGTCCCAGAGCCAGCAAAGCGGGGTTTTTTTTTCCTCTTTTCTTTTGGCTCTAAATTATTTCTGAAAGTTACAGCCTTTTAGATTTGTATTTTTTATTAGCTGTCATTTTTATTCATGTCCCCTTTTGTTTCTCTCTCCTTCTCTGGACCTCTTCCTGGTCAAGCTTGACTGTTCCTCCGTTAAGCTGTTCCTCATATGGCAAGTTGTCCCTGCATCAGCACGCCATAAATAATCAAGCCTGGGAACGGGCCCTCGCCGCCTCCGGCTCCAAACCCCTCCTGCCTCCCAGCTGCCCGGCTCCAGCCTTTCTGCGGCCTCAGTGACATGATTGTTGGCAATAAATGCTCAGTTTCATTTATTTATTGGAATTCTCAGATCTGGACTGGTCTCTTGCATTCAAGCCGCCGACATCCTTTGTTTGGTACAGATTTTATAGAGTCTCCCCTTTTCACTGAGCTCTGAGACAAAGCGCCCTGGTAAAGGTGAACTTGAACTTAACAGATTTTTAGCTTCAGCTTTATTCTGACACCCCTGACAGTAGACAATTGGCAGCTTATCTCGGGTTGGGGGTGTAATTCAGTATATATTTTAACTATCTCCACCTTTTCAGAAATGTTCCTTTTGGAGGTGAAATGTTTATTGTATCCCATATTTGGTTGTGGTCATGGTTCTCCCGCATAATAAAACTGTAACCACAGTTTGGCGAGCTTCATTTAAACTTGTATTTAGGATGCAGACGTGAGGTCAGTCGTACATCACATCTTACACCCTCTGAAGTGTGAGGATGTTTCAGTGTGTTGCTTTAACCCTCCAAGAAAATCCGCTGTCTACTGAAGAAAACCAAATGTGACAACTGAAAGAGAAGTAAAAGTTACTTATTCTAATTTTGATGTGAAGCTAAACAGGTTTGGGTTCTTATTTTTTTCAATGAAACTTCCTCCCATGTTCAGAAGTGCCCCCCTCGCCATGGTTAGCTTAGCCATGAAGAATCCTCCCCTCATAGGTGGCAGTGCCGCTTTCAGTATGTTACAGAATCGCAAGCAGTTAGCATTATACTAGATCACCAGCCACTAAAAAATGAAAGATTTTACCTTCCATCATTAAGTATGAATTTCACCTCCAACTAAGATTTGTGAAGAAACCGACCAGTAGGTGTTCTAAGGGCATTCACAGAAATGGCAGTGAACTTGATCAGAGCATTGCCTGAGTTGTCATGCATATCTCACCACAAAAATGTGGCCACAGAGGAGATCCAGGTGTCTCAAACCTGAGCCGCAGGGCCCTCCCAAAGCTCTGGCTATTTCCGGAAGTAATCTCTAAGACAATGCTCTTAGGAAATTAACACACTGCCTTTTCCTGGTCTCATCCAAATTAAAGCACAGTGAAATTTTTCACAAGACATTCATTGAATCAAGCCTTTTTGACAATCATTACAACTAAGGAAAGTTAAAATATCCAAGAAGAACCAAGTCTCGAATAGTGTTCTTTCTTGACGTAAAGAATGGGGGAGGGAGAACGAACGGGAGGGAGGAAGTTTGTCAAGATGCGGCATGAGGGACTTAGATGACAAAAGGAAAGGCCCCTGGGGCTCTGTAAGCTTAGTGGGGAGCCTGGATGCAGGGTCCAGGCAGCAAAATGATATATTTTGGTACCACCTCAATGAAGCAAACAAAATTTGACAATGTGTATCAAAATCTTTTTCAAATGCTATACTTTTTGACCCCAGAGCTCCACTTGTAGCAGTTTGTCCTACTCATGTTCCACCATGAGTACACAGACAGGCATAAGGATGTTCACTGCAGCATTGTTTATAATAAGCAAAGACTGGACACAACTTATGCATCCATCAGAGCTGGTTTTACAAAAGTCACAGTGTGCCATATGGTGGACCATCGTGCTGCAGGTGAAAAGATAGACGTAGCCCTTCATGTGCTGAGATATGTATTGTGTGTGGGAAGCAAGGTGCAGACCATGTCAGTGTGTTCTCATTGGCTTTTGTTTGTTTTTTTGATGGAGATGCTGGGGACTGAACCCAGGACCTCATG